GACTTTTATTTACAGTATCCTTTATTTTAGGGGGGCTGGTAAAAAATATGTTAATAGATATTTAATTGTATAAAGTACTCATATATATGTTGGAGCCCCCTCAATCCTGTTCTTGTTATTGTCGTGGGGGCTTAGGAGACAGAGACTGAGGCCCAATGTTGGGGATATCCCCTATCTTGGGCCTCAGGCATTGGCTCAACCAATTTTGCTTGGTCTTTTCAACTTTCCTGTTCCATTTCATCTCCAACTCTTTCCTCTGCCCAATTCCTTAGGTGTGTGTGCTGTGTTGAAATGATGAAAGGCTGACTTTGTGCCAGTCTTGAATGGCCTGGGGGAGCCATGGACATGGTACTCCCTTGCTTTGTTGTCTAGCCCTTATCCCTCAAGAGGAAACTGAGGGGTGGACCATTTCTCTTCTCCACATGTTTCAGGCTTCCTATGGACAATAATGAAGATTTTTATCCTTATTAGGGGCACTTAGAAGCAGGAGTTTATAACAGCTAGCTTCCCTGCACCTAACTAACCCCTCACTCTCCTTTAAACATGGCTCCAACCACTGCTATTACACCCCCTCCTCAACACTTGTAGTCAACTTGACCCACCCCGAATCATCTACCCTGGTTATAATTCAACCTTCAAGAGACACACATTCCTTTCTCCCAAAATCCTCCACCCCATTTCCTGCACCTGCCTATTCTTGTTGGTGGTGATGGGGGGGGGGGGGTAGATGAGGATTGAGACCCAATGCTGGGGATCTCCTCTGCCTTAGTCTTCAGCCCTTATCTTGGCTAATATTTCCTTCTCCATTTTCGTCCATTCTCCAACTCCCCAACCTTGGGACTTACCCCTATGTCTGTCCTGAATGGTTTGAGGGAGCCAAGGGCACGGTATTCCCCTGCTTTAGTTGTCTAGCCCTTACTCCTCAAGGGGACCCAGACTGTTTCTCTCCCCAACATAGTCCATTACCATGGCCAACAATGAATATGTTATATCATTAATAGGGTCAATGAGGCTTGTGCCCCTTCATCAAATAGCCCCACCAATTCAAACTCTCCCGATTCCCTAACTCCAGTCTCTCTTCTGACTACGGCTACGAATACTACAACTACTTCCCCCTTCTAGAACATTATCCATCCTAGTCAACACTCATCCCCCAGGAGACATTCCTACTCTCCCAGCATGCTCAACTTGAACACCTCTACCCCCTCAACCTTCTTCATCAACTACCCCATCCTCCTTTAGTACTACTTTCCTGCCTTATTGTCCACCTCTCCATAACACTACCTCCCTCAACTCTACTTCCTCTTTCACACAACCCCGTGCTTCTACTACCCCCATCTCTACAAAAATCTTAAATACTCTATTTAGCCCAGCCAAATGGGGCCAATTTTTCGTGATCCTTCCCACAACTCCCTACTCTGACAACACCCTTCTCTTCCAGCAATGTCTCCAAAAACAAATAGGCAAAGTCTCTTTCCTTAGCCGACCCGACCGTTCCCGTCTCGTCACGGTAACATCTGAAAACCAAGCTATAGCATTATCAAATCTAACTGATCTCTCTGGTAACCCCATTCCTGCAGAACCCCATCTAACCCTCAATACTTGCACCGGTACTGTTTCTATCTTCCAAGCAAATTGCCCTATCTATATAAAAAATTGGTCAGATTGTGGAGAAGACTTACTCACCTGTCTCACAGACTATGATGCGATATCGATGTGCTACTCCATTCTTCCCAGAGGTCGTTGTAAGAACCCCACTAGCATAGCCAAAATTACTTTCTGTAGACATGACCTTCCCTTTAATGTTTACATAGGTAGAGAATCCCTCCCTGCCCGACCATACCAACCTCGTCAGTGCCAAAATTGTTGGCATTTAGGAGATCAAAGTTGTTGGCATTTCGGAGATCTTGCTAAACATTGCCGTTCCACAGTCAGATGCCCTTTGTGTGCCCAATCTGGCCATACTCGTTCAAACTTCTCTGCACAATCACGCACATGTGCCAACTTTGGTGGCCCCACAATGTATTTTATAAGGGCTACCCCACCTACAAATTTGAGTCTGAGGTATCAACTCAGATTCAGACTTGGTCTCACTCTACGTTAATCCAGACAGGAAGCACGTCGACAAGGTTTTTCTCTTAATCCCTACTCCAGTAATATCGCTCACCTTCCCCAGTCAAATTCTTTTGCCATCCTAATTCCAGACACTCCAATCTCTACTACAGCCCCAACACCTTTCCCTCTCCCTCCCTGCATTATCTGCAGCAGACAGCCTAAACATTCCACCCCCTCTTCCCCTACCACACAATCACCGCCTTCCTTTGCCCCTACTCCTCAGACACCAGTCTCCTCTTCCCCCTTTCACAAGAAAACCTTTGTCTCACAAAACTCCCCAGCCAACTCTATTACTGAAACTCTTGAAGATATTCAAAACTATGTACTCGAATCCCAAACTGACACTAAAACCCCTCATCCACCTTCAAGTTCCACAACTGCTCTTTTCACACTCAAAGTGACTGCCGATATTCATCCTCCTACGTCCCCTCCTTCTCCCTCCCAATGCAGCCCATCCCCCCCAGCTCCAGCTCCACCTACATTAACCCTCCCGCTATCCCCTCTATCCCTTCCACTTCCTCCTGGATACACACGTGAATCCCTTATGTCACAACTATCCCCTTCCCCAGATCCTCCACCTCTTGATACCCCTCCTGATACAACACTACCTTCCCCCTCTTATTCCTTATCTCAACCCCTAGTTCCTTCCCCTTCATATTCTCCAACAGACACTGTAACTGTTCTCACTCATAAATCAATTATCCTTCAGTATAACTATCCTTCATTGGAATTCACAGTTTCCGTTCTCACAGACCCGACCTTCGTCATATCCTTTCCTCTTATACCAGTCCATTAGGTCTTCAAGAGACTTTTCTTACACATCCTCCTATACCAATTCCCAATTACCATTTTGTCTCTTCCTCACATTCCCTTATGTCTCCTCTATACTTATCCATCAGAAAACACTTTATGTAATACCTCCCTCTCAAATCAGTCCCTTGCACAGTTATTCACATCTTTCTTCGCCGCTGGATAACAGTGGTTTATGTCTACTTCTCCCCTTCCCACCCCATTGACTTTGTTGCTTTTGAAAATCGAATTTCCCAACTCCAGCCACCTTTCCTCATAGTTGGTGATTTTAACTGCTGCCACACTCTTTGGGGTGATTCTATTACCAACTCCCGAGGCCGATCCCTAGAGCGCTTCCTCTCCACAGCTGACATTATTCTAAATTCAGATCGCCCCACACACTTTGATACTCGCACGCAATCTTTTTCATGCACTGACCTCTCTCTATGCTCCCCTTCTCTTCATTTAGATTTCCACTGGTCAGTCTTAGACCATTTTCCCTATAGTGACCACTTTCCAGTTCTCCTTTCTCCTACTTCATATGTACCACTTCCTAACTCCCCACGCTGGTGCTTTGATAGAGCCGACTGGCGTAGTTTCACTTCACTCTCTGCTTTTCATATCCCTCCATCCTGCCTCTCATCCATTTCAGAAATGATACAATGTTTCACAATCACAGTCCTAAGAGCTGCCCATACAGCTATTCCTCGAACTTCAAGACCCTATACCTCCAAATGTGTTCTACGGTGAAATTCTGATTGCACTAAAGCGCTTCGCTTAAAACGTGCAGCCTGGAACAGTTATCGCTACAAACGAGGTACCCCCAATCAACTATCAGCCCTTATCTTCTTTAAAAGAGCCGCCGCTACAATCCGAAATAGTAAAACAAATAGCTGGCGAAATTATGTTTCCTCAAATACATCCTCTACATCTGTCATGTTTGGCGCGAGATTCATAAACTATCAGGCAAACATCCCCCCCCCCCCATCCGGCTCCAATCCTCCATATTCGAGACAATCTCATCTCTGATCCTCTCCAAGTCGCTAATAAACTGTGACTCTTTCAGCCAGGTCGGTAGTGGTTTTCACCTTTCTCTACACTTCTCTTCTATTAAGACCATTAGGGGACGCACCCCCATTATCTTCACCCTATCCTCCGCTGAGTCCTATAATGCTCCTTTTTCTTCCTCTGAACTCAGTGCTGCCTTACATTCGTGCCGCAACACTCATGAATGCCCTGTAGTATTCATTACCGTATGCTCCGGCAACTCCCATCTTCCTCCTTATCCTTCCCAGTAAATCGGGTACCCTCCTTCAAGACTATCGCCCCATCGCACAAACTAGCTACTTTTGCATACTACTAGAGCGAATGGTGAACTTCCGCTTAATGTGGTATCTTGAATCTCACAATCTTCTCTCTCCTCCCCAGTTTGGTTTCCGCCGTGCCCGAAGCACAGCCGACCCCCTTGCTTATTTTGAGACATTACATCAGCATTTGCACGCCATGAATCCGTACTAGCTATATGCTTTGACCTAGAAAAAAAACATTTGATACTACATGGCAGTACCATATTCTCCAACAATTATCCCCTTTAGGCATACGCGGAAACATGGGTGTCTCTATAAAGTCTTTCCTCTCCCAATGCACTTGCCAGGTCAAAATTGCCTCTGCCACATCATCCTTCTTTCTTCAATTCGAAGGCGTCCCACAAGACAGTGTGCTCAGTACCACTTTATTCCTTCTTGCTGTTAATGACATTGTCTCAGTTCTACCACCAGGAGCCCGGTCATCACTATATGTTGATGATTTAACCATCTATGTCTCTGGCACATCCATGCCAATTTCTTCAGTCTGCAATATCATCAGTATATTCCTGGGCCACAAACCATGGCTTCCGCTTTTCTACCTCCAAATTTTTATCCATCCTGTTCTCTTGCACACGTGTAGGTCTCCAATCTCCACTCTTCTTATATGGCACTCCATTCCAATACCGCTCCTCTGGCAAATTCATAGGCGTTATTTTTTACTCAAAACTGTCCTTGCGAGACCATATCCTGAACATTAAAGAAAAAGCTCGCCGCCGTCTCCGAATCTTA